GTGCATGAAGCAGTGTAGTACAGTACAGTACAGTATAGTATAGTGTAGTCGTACTGTATTGGTAAACTAATGTGGAGGTAATGATTTATGTAAACAGTTGGGGACAGTTTAAGTACATGTGATCTAGTTGCAAGTTTAATTTTCATTGTACGTAAATTACAACTTTAAACACGTTGCAGGTAACAGCTGATGTACGTGAAGGCCAATGGAGAAGTGACAGAACCTCGAGCAAGATTTAACTACCAGCATGTTACTTCAGCCTCATCAGTTAAGTTACTTGTACAGTATATCTTAGCTAGTATCTTTATCCAATAAACCACTCGACAATGCTCCTACACTGGGCAGTGGGGGGTGTGTGGGGGGTGGGGGTGCCTGCTGACTGTTTGAGGCCTAATAGGTCTGTGTGTAGACCTAGTGATCAGTGTGTGGGGCCTGGCGGACACTCTTGGAGGACTGTGTTGGAGGGCTATGGAGGACGATCTGTAGACAGACTGATATTAGAGTAAAATTAATATTAGTTGTAGTGACAGTAGAAATATACAGAACTGTATGCCTATTGATTATTAGTGAAAATTAGTAGCAGTAGTAAACATAGTAAGTTAAACAAGTTGTTGTGGGTGGGTTTCAACTAACTTTACTAACCATATTAACCTAAGATAAACTATTCCAAGACATAATTCAGTATTTTTTTGTCACTTACGTTAACTGATCATGAATTCATAAGTTAATTTTGAAAGAAGTTAAATTTGACTTTTGTAAATAATTAATTTTTGAAAAATTATGTACATTTGACGACAGTTTAACTACATGTTGTTTAGTGGTAGATGGATATTGTATGTTTAACATTCATTCTACATAAATGCCAACTTTAAACATGTTGCAGGTGACAGCTGATGTATGTGAAGCCCAATGGAGAAGTGACAGAACCTTGAGCAACATTTAACACCCAGCATGTTACTTCAGCCTCATCAGTTAAGTTACTTATATATATCTTGGCTATTATGGTCATCCCATAAACTACTCAACACCGTGCTTCTACACTCGGCAGTGGAGGGTGTGTGGGGGGCCTGGCTGACTGTGTGATGGAGGGTTCTGGAGGACTGTGTGATGGAGGGTTCTGGAGGACTGTGTGTGAAGGAGGGCTCTGGAGGACTGTGATGGAGGGCTCTGGAGGACTGTGTGTGAAGGAGGGCTCGTGAGTACTGAGTGGACAGATTGGTCTTCGAGTAAAATTAATATTAGTTGTAGTGACAGTATAAATATACAGGACTACATGCCTATTGGTTATTAGAGAAAATTAGTAGTAGTAGTGGTAGTAGTAGTAAATACAGCAAGTAAAGCAAGTTGTTGTGGGTGGGTTTCAACTAACTTTACTAACCTAACTTAACCAGCCTAAGTTAATTAAACGTAATAACGTAGACTGAACCAAATCCGTAATAAGGTCACCGCGACCCGTAGCTGGGGACGTCAAAGGCTCGGTCGGATTGGTACACCGTCAATGACTCAGCTCATCTTGGAGGGAGGGGGGGGGGGTGGCGAGCTACCTCCCGTGTCCTGGCTGAACTGCGAGAGGGGCAACCACTGGTGTCCTGCCTCCCTGCGAGATGGTCGTTGATCTACCCGACCCGTCTTGGGACAACAACCACGGAGTCTAGCATGTGTAGGAGTCGATGGGGTCACTGAGCCCGAAGGCGAGATGAAGGTAACGGGCGCCTGGTGCGTCTTGGGCAGATCCTCAACTGGCTGCCTCTGGCCGTGCACGTGTGGCGTTTGCGTGGTTGAGACCCTTTCCCCCCACTGGGAAAAGGGCCTTCCCCCGCGCATTACCACGTGAGTGCACATGTCGCCGCGCTTCTCTGGGCGCACACGTCGCCACCTCAGCTTGTTTGCAGCTGGGTGGGTGGAGCGGCCCAAAAAGCTCCCATCTCGCCTCCCCATTTTCCCTTCCTTCATATCTTTGAGTTATATATAAAAATAAGTGTGTTTATGTCTACTTAAATAAATTATATACAATATGCCTATATGCCTATCGATTGATTTTTATCCTAAGAGTTATCTGATAAAAATGTGAATTTATTAGGAAGGTACTGGTATGGAGGGTAGGACATGGAACACTATGAATTAGTGGTTTATTTGTAGTAATAATTATATAAACAAAATGACAACTCATAATTTATGGTCAAGTGAAAAAAAATTGTAGCTCAGTCGTATTTAATATTTGGTTAGGTAGGTTAAGTTAAAGTTAGGGTAGGTGAGGTTAGGTGAGGCTAGGCTAGGTTATTTCCATGTTTTGTGCCAGTTATTCACTGGCAATGGGGGGGGGGGCAATTGTACATGAACCAAGCTGTGCAGCTTTTTACAACCATGACGTGCACTAAGTCTGGGGCTGGTGCCCCCACACACTTGGCAAGCTCAAATATTCTGCAAGATAAGTTTTAAAAAGGTTTATGTTCAGTTTCTGAAGGGTCACCTCAAAAGACTTGTCAGAAGCATACCAGTATATATATATATATATATATATATATATATATATATATATATATATATATATATATATATATATATATATATATATATATATATATATATATATATATATATATATATATAGCAGGTATATATATATATATATATATATATATATATATATATATTTTTTTTTTTTTTTTTTTTTTTTTTTTTTTTTGCAGGTATGATCAGAAGTATGCGGTTGTGTGGGTGAGCGACCCAAAAATGTTTGGGCGCCCCCACACATGCTGTCAGTTCAACGGGCGTAGCCATTTTGTAGAGATCATCAGGGGACGCCGGTAGCCTCAGCTCAGCTGCCTGGAGGGGGTTCACATTGGGGCACCGCTAGTGTCTTACAGCCTGCCTGATTGGCTCGTCATGACAGGTTGTGATCCACTACCACGCGGAACACGGACCTTCACGGAGTCTAGCGTGTGTGGGAGCTCGATGGCTCACTGATTCGAAGGCGTAGATGAGGGCACGGATCGCCTGGTGCGCCCTGCAGATCCTCAACCGGCTGCCTCTGGCCACGCCCGCGCGGCGTTTGCCGGGTTGAGACCCCCAGGGTCTCACCCGGCGTATTGCCGCGCGAGCGCGGTCGGGGTGGTTGGTTGGGGGGTCTGCCCAGGACGCACCAGGCGCCTGTTGCCTTCATCTCGCCTTCAGGCTCAGTGAGCCCATCGACTCCCACACACGCTAGACTCCGTGGTCCGTGTTCCGAGGTGGGTCGGGTGGATCACCGACCCTCTGCACATCGCGAGAGCGAACCCCCACAGTCGAGGTGGAGGCGGCGCTCTTCTCTACGACTGTCGTAGGACAGCCAGGATACTGGCGGTTGCCCCCTGTCGTGCGGAACTCCCCCCTCCCCCCCACTCAGACGAGCTGAGAGTCGGCAGTGGGGTGCCAATCCGACCGAACCTTCGACGTCCCCGGCTACGGGTCGCGGTGACCTACTATGAGGTGAAATACTCCTGATTAGTCCATGAGAAATCAAAGCCTCACACGCTTTGGTCTCTCGGCGCACACGTCGCCACGCTTCTCTGTGTGCGCACGTCGCCACGCTTCTCTGGGCGCGCACGTCGCCACGCTTCTCTGGGCGCGCACGTCGCCACGCTTCTCTGGGCGCGCACGTCGCCACGCTTCTCTGGGCGAACACGTTCCAGCAGTTTTTCTCTGGGCGTGCACGTAGCCATTACAGTTTCCGTCACAGCATATGCTGCAGCCTTCAATGCAGTGGCCCATCGTGTCTTGACCGAGATTTATTCCACCAGTCAATGCGATAACAGCTCGTGGTTCAACATGACCGGGGTGCATGTCTCATTCTAGTACTCGAGCAAACTAAGAATAGTTCTTGCCACAAACTCGAAGCAAACAGGGTGACCCATTCTATCCTCACCTAACAATTGATGATAGTGGGTCCCACCCGCTTGAGCCCATGTCCCCACAAATGATAAAGGTTGAGCTAGTCTTGGGGCACCTGCGTTAACATTTGATAGATATACTGCCCCACTCAAACTTCACACCAAATATTGAGCGGCATGCCGACTCGTCGGCGCACGCTTCTCTGGGCGCACACGTCGCCACCTCGGTTGGGTGGGTGGAGCGGCCCAAAAATGTTTGGGCGCGCCCCCACACACACGCCGTCGTCCAACGGGCGTGTTTCGCCTCGTAGTAGGTGACCTTGACCAAGCATCCATTACCCAGCGCATAGCAGGTCTACTAGCAACACAATAAATGCGGAAAAGAGAGGCCTGGGGTGAAATTGCTGCCTCATTCAACGCCAGCAGCTCTGACCAACTCCCTCGCACAGCCAAGCAGCCGTTTGATTTTTAGACATCCAAAGGAGATTGAGCAATGGGAGTGCATACAACTGTATAAATCAATAAATATTCTCACCTACCTGCACATTCCACAAGGAATTATTTCTTCATCTACTGGATGATTGCGGAAAGTCTCGTAAAAATCATCAGCCACTGCTAACTCGGCCCTCAAGTTTTCGGTCTTTTATATCTCTGTTTTTATATTTCTGAAAGAAAGAGAAGAAATTAATGCTGTATAGCAATAGCAACAGCATTGGCTTTTATAATGCTTTCATCACCAATGCCTATGAGCAAAGGGGATGCAGAACAGACTAATATCATTTACTGTACATATATGCATCACAAAAGAAATATATGACGGTTTTGTAGAATTTTACAATAAAGCAATATTTAAAGGGCCTGTAGACAGTTTTAAAACCTGTAAATTTGCCATTAAAAATTGAGTACAGAAACATGGTTATACTTTACGATGCTGTTGTGCACTTACATCAGTAGATCGAAAACAAACAAACAAAACATTTTTTGAAGTAGGCCTTAAATACTGTAGGCTACGGTCATATCTGCAAAAAAATTATTATATGATAATATATATAGATATGAGGATTTGTATGCTTCTGACAAGTCTTTTGAGGTGACCCTTCAAAAATTGAACAGACCTGTTTGAAACTTGTCTTGCCAGGTGTGTGGGGGAACCAGCCCCAGACTTGCACATTTTTCTTGGTGCACGTCGTGGTCGTAAAATGTTGCTATATAGAGTTATATGCTGCATAGCTTGGGTCTAGGACAATTGGCCCCCCCCCCATTGCCAGTGAGTAACTGGCACAAAACATGGAAATAACCTAACTAACTTGAAATAGCCTAGCCTAGCCTTACCTAACAAAATATTAAATATGACCGATCTACAATTTTTTTTCACTTGACCATAAATTATGAGTCGTCATTTTGTGTATATAATTATTACAAAAAAAAAGCATGAAAATATAGCACTATATCTTAGTGTTCCATGATTGTGTCAGTTATTCACTGGCAAGGAAGGGGGGGGGGTAATTGTCCAGAGGGCAGTTGTCCTATGTGGGGGGGGGGGGGGTAATTGTTCTGAAACCATATAGCTTGTATAAAGTCAGGGTAAAAATTGGCATTGCAGGTATGACTGTAGCCTTGTGACTAGCCTACAGTATTTTAGGCCTACTTCAAAATGTTTTTTCTGTGTTTTCGATCAACTGATGTAAGTGCACAACAGCATCGTAAAGTATAACCATGTTTTTGTACTCCATTTTTATGGCAAATATACATTTTTTAAACTATATACACTCTTTGAATATTACTGTATTGTAAAATCCTACAAAACCGTCATATATTTCTTTTGTGATGCATATATGTACAGTAAATGATATTAGTCTGTTCTGCATCCCCTTTGGCCATAGGCATTGGTGATGAAAGCATTATATAAGCCAATGCTGCTGCTATTGTTATACAGCATTAATTTCTTCTGTTTCTTTCAGAACTATAAAAACAGAGATATAGAAGACCGAAAGCTTAAAAAGACAGGTGGTGGTCCACGAGAAAAAAATATTAAAAGCTTCAGAAGAAACTGCCTTAACAGCATCACTGATGAGGGCCGAGTTAGCAGTGGCTGGTGATTTTTACGAGACCTTCCGCAGTCACCCAGTAGATGAAGAAATAATTCCTTATAGAATGTGCAGATAGGCGAGAATATTTATTGATTTATACAGTTGTATGCATTCTCATTGATACCATTGCTCAATCGCCTTTGGCTGTGTAAAAATCAAACGGCAGCAGTGACCTACCTTATACTGACTTTTTGCAGTTTTGCCTGTTCCAACCCCAGGGCCATCAACTGTGCTCACAAGTCATTGTTCCTGCCTCGACAGTGAATGCTCCTACCTCACCAGTGAATGCTCCTGCCTCACCAGTCATTGCTCCTGCCTCACCAGTCATTGCTCCTGCCTCACCAACACTGAAGCAGGTTCAGGTACATTCAGGAGCCTGTGCGTGAGTAACAGACGTGACCAATCGTCCAAGCGGCTAACAAGCCAATCAGTGGTGAATAGGATAAAAGTATATACATGCTGTTAGAAATTTATTTTCTTACATTTTACAATTAAATAATTTGATTTAAAGTAAATAAATCTACATTAATTTATTTTGTCAAAAATTTTCTTAAGTTAAAAAAGCCTTCAGAAGTATAGCGGCTAATATTTTGCTCACAAGTTGCCGCGCTTCTCTGGGCGCACATGTCGCCGCTCTTCTCTGGGCGCGCACGTCGCCACCTCAGCTTGTATGCGGCTGTGTGGGTGGAGCGACCCAAAAATGTTTGGGCGCGCCCCCACACATGCCGTCGTCCAACGGGCGTGTTTCGCCTTGTAGTAGGTGACCGCGACCCGTAGCCGGGGACGTCGAAGGTTCGGTCGGATTGGCACCCCACTGCCGACTCTCTCAGCTCGTCTGAGTGGGGGGGGACGGGGGAGTTCCGCACGACTGGGGGCAACCGCCAGTATCCTGGCTGTCCTACGACAGTCGTAGAGAAGAGCGCCGCCTCCACCTCGACTGTGGGGGTTCGCTCTCGCGACGTGCAGAGGGTCGGTGATCCACCCGACCCACCTCGGAACACGGACCATGGAGTCTAGCGTGTGTAGGAGTCGATGGGCTCACTGAGCCTGAAGGCGAGA